CTGAAAAAAAAATTATAAAAAAATACACACAACATCTTAATATCATTATAAAAATAATTTTGATCTTGTGGACCTCTTGAAAGTGTCTCTGAGGTCTCAAGGGGTTCCCAGACCATATCTGAGCTTCACTTATGCTTCAATTAATGTAGCTTAAGTTCCTAGTTTTCTAGTATCCATGGTATTCTTTTTTGCTTTCTTGAGCTTGTGGTCAACTAAAATCACTTGCTCTTTCTCAAACAATTGCTGTCAAGTCAGGCCTCCTCTTTTCATGTAAAGGCAGACCTTACACATATATTTTCCCATAGATTCCATTTTGTGGATTTCAGATTACTCTTTGATAGTTATACTATTGTACCATGCCTAGATCCCCCTTAAGGCTGGTGCATCTATCCTAACTGTTGTATGGATCTATCCAGCTGTTGTAATGGTCAGATAACTCACAGCAGCACACTTCTCTAGAGAGTACTCAGTAAAACTGGAGCCATCTGTCTTGAGAAGCTATGTTCACCTACACTTCAGCTACTGACTGTTAGGCTAATGACTGTCACAGAGTACAAAAGACTGGCTCCAGCGACACAAAGTGAGACTAATTCTGTGGTATGGTTTGTGCTCTGGGGCTTCCTAGGTTATCAGACTAAAGTTAGCTTCTAGATGAGACCCCATTTTTCCTAGCTTTTACACCTTGCTCTGTCCTGTTTCGTCCACTCCCTTTCACCCAAGAACACATCCGTCATAAATCACTTAAACAAGAATTTCCGTTTCAGGCTCTGCTTATATTGCAATACTGACTCTGGCCTACGTCGTATTAATTAATCTTCAGCTACACCACATTCCATTTATGCCAAGCATTCCATTATTAAGTAGTACAGTCATTCTCAGACCCACTGTACACCTACTTAATCAAAACCTGGGCCAGGCGTGGTGGCTCATGCCTGTAATCCCAGCACTTTGGGAGGCCAGTGCAGATGATTCACCTGAGGTCAGGGGTTCAAGACCAGCCTGGCCAACATGCTGAAACCCCATCTCTACTAAAAATACAAAAATTAGCTGGTGGTGGCATGCATCTGTAATCCCAGCTACTTGGGAGGCTGAGGCAAGAGAATCCCTTGAACTTGGGAGGCAGAGGTTGCAGTGCCAGCCTGGGTGACAGAGACAGACTGTGTCTCAAAAAACAAACCAAAAAAAAAACCCTGAAGGTGGGGGCCCAGCAACTTGTTTTTAAGGAGCCTTCCAGGTGATTCTGATACCCACTAAAGTAACAGACTCTTAAAATGGCTAAGAGCATAAGCTCTGGAGTCAAACATAGTCACTTCCTAGCTATTGTCCTTAGGCAAGCTTAATCCTTGTGTCATGTCCCAGTTTCCTCATATATAAAGTGAAGATAGTAAAGATATCCATATCATGAATTGAAATGAATTCATATATGCAAATCACTTAGCTCAGTACCCACAGTCCTCCATAAACTTAGACTGCTGTCTTTATTATAATATTGTTATTATTATTTACTATGTGTTTATCCATCTTCACTAATCTTGTGCATATATTTGCCATATTAATATTAATATCCATTGTCATAAGAGTTTTGTGAAGATTAAATAAGATAAAAAAGCCACTAGTAAGGTAAAGTGGCCATATAATAGAGAATCAATAATTGGCCATGATAAGGATTATTTTAGGGGAATTAAAATGTTAATACATGAAGGCATTAATGCTGTCATAAATGTGTGTTGAAAGAGAAACTGTTAAAGTCATTGATAAAAAGTGTTGATCTAATAGTTCATCCCATAAAAATATTGGGAGCTAAGCAAATAGTGCTCTCTAACTCCACAAAAACCCTTTCCTCAAACTTGATATCCATTACATATCTACATTTCTTGCATATAGTTGTCAACTATCTACAAATACAACTAATTTAGAAGAAAAGCGTAAAAAAAAAAGTTAAGACTTTTGATCATTATATATTTATGATCAAGAGAGGATGTATTTTACCTAAATCCTGTTTTGGAATCCCAAGGGCAATAGTTAAATAAGAGTTTATCACTCTTCAGTGCAGAGTTGAAGTATCTTTTGATTAGTGATGGTTGAAATGAAAAATAATGTTGTTTTATACAATTGCTTGCAAGATTATGAAACTTATTAAATATCACAAAATTACCAATAATTTTTCATGATAGACAGTCTAGTCTGTATATTCACTTACAACTAAGTTTGATAATTTTTAAAAATTAGGATTATCCCTTGAGTTCTTCTGTCTATCCTGAGCACAATCAATCTTTTTCATGAAATTTGCTTAAATATTCAATTTTTTTAAAACTTTTCAGTTCAGGGGTACATGTGCAGGTTTGTTGCATAGGTAAACTTGTGTCATGGGAGTTTGTTGTACAGATTATTTCATCACCCAGGTATTAAGCCTAGTGCCCATTAGTTATTTTTCCTGATCCTCTCCCTCCTCTGACCTTCTACCCTCCTCTAGGCCTCAGTTTTTTTTAATGTTAGCAGTTTGGTGGAGCATGGTGGCTCATGGCTGTAATCCCAGCATTTGGGAGGCTGAGGTGGGCAGATCACCTCAGATCAGGAGTTCAAGACCAGCCTAGCCAACATGGTGAAACCCCGTGTCTACAAAAATACAAAAGTTAGCTGGGCATGATGATGGGTGCCTGTAATCCCAGCTACTCAGGAGGCTGAGGAGAGAGAATCACTTGAACCCAGGAGGCAGAAGTTGCAGTGAGCCAAGATCGTGCAATTGCACTCCAGCCTGGACAACAGAGCAAGACTCTGTCTCAAAAAAAAAAAAATGTTAGCAGATGACTGTCCCTTATCTAATTATATCCCACTTAAATTGTCACAGTATTGTCTACTGATATCACAAATGTGCTATCTAATAAGATAAAACATTAATTCTGAGATATTTGGGGTTTTTGGGGGGGGTTGTTTGTTTTTTTGAGACAGAGTCCTGTTCTGTTGCCCATACTAGATAGAGTGCAGTAGTGTGATCATAGCTGATTGTAACCTCAAATGCCCAGACTTATGCAATAAGTCTGTCCCAGCCTCCAGAGTAGCTAGGATTACAGGTGCATTGCATGCCGCCATGCCCACCTAATTTTTCTAGTTTTGTAGAGATGGGATCTCACTTTATAGTGCAGGCTGATCTCAAACTCCTGGACTCAAGTGATCCTCCCCTTTTGACCGAAAGAAGCACTGGGACCACAGGTGTGAGCCACTATACCTAGCCATCTGAGGTATTTTTAAATGAAATATGAGATGAATATACTTGCAGGTAAATCTCTGCATATTCAAATATTTTGAGTATTTGTGTGTAATTTATTTTTATTAAAATTATTGCATCCAAAAAATAAGATGTACTGATAGAGGGATCGACATATAATAAAGCAAGCACAGCAAAATGTTAATGGTAGACTTTAGTTGGTAAGCATATAGATATTCACTGCAAAATTCTTTTAACTTTTCCATATGTTTCAAATTTATTGGAAAATGTTGGAAATGAAAAATGTTGAAAAAAATTATATTTTATGAGGCTAAATTCCTAGAATTGGAATAGATTATTCATAGTATGTGCACATCTCTAAACTTTGTGAAGTTAAAACATCAACCAGAAAGTGTCAGTTCCCTCACACTGTCAACACCACTTTTTAGTGCTTTTCAAATCTCTGCCAACTTGTTAGGCAAAAACTAGTCATTCATTTTTAAAATCATCATTTCTATGTTAATTTTTAAAACTTTTTTAAGTTAATATATAATGAATTGAAAAGCTTCCTAATATGCTTGGCTTCAGATTTGATGTTGGTTATTGGAACCACGAAGCAGTAATCAAGATCCAAGCACCCATCTGGGGGTACTTAGCTTGTTACCAAGCACAATACTCTCAAGAATAACTTCCAAACCAAATTATAAAGGTGAAAGTTACCTTCAGGCTAGCATCACATATGGGCAAGGGGACTGATGTCTGATTGCCAAATGGTCCTGATTTAACATGTTCTGAGAAAGAGTTCTTACTGCACAAAAAAAGTCACCTCTTTCATTTTCCCAGGATGCTCAGAATTCAAGCACTAGTGATTTCTTCTTCTGTGCTGAAATAATTTGGTCATCACCAATCCTCTTTCAAAATTCAAGTATTTTATTTCAATATGAGTACTACATAATTGTGGTACTTCCACAGGATAGAATGCAATGGAATCATTTAAGAGAACTATGGAATTCTGCATTTACTGACATGGAAAGATGTCCATGATATACCTGTTCATTGTAAACAACAACAAAAACAAGTATGTATGTGTGTGTATATGATAGAAATATGTGAAAGGATACTTACTAAAATGTTAACAGTGGTAACTTATGGAAGGACATATGGGACATTTTAAAATCCTTTTTATGTATTTCTCTTATTTATTTTTAAAATGGGTATACACAATTTTTTCACAAGAAATACAATAAGGCTATTTGCATTTTGATATAAAGAAAATTGAAAATATCTCAGAAAACCACTCAATCATTAGTCCCATAATAAAATTTGGTTCAGCAAGATTTTCAATTCAAGGTTAAAATCCCCTAAGGAATAAGACCCAGATCCAGCATATTTTCAAGGGAAAAAGGGCTATAGGCAGAGCAGGCAAAGAGGTCTCCAGTCAAGTATTAAGCAGCCTGAGGCTAGGGCTGTATTATCTTCAGGGAATTTTACTTGGGAAAAAAAAAAACAACTCAGTAGATAACAGAAGGCATCTATGGTATTCAGATCCAACAGAAACCAAACGAATGATGGCTCACTACAATCTGGATAGTCAGAGTGGATCTTAAATAACTTTACCACAATTCTTGCTTTCAGTATTACAAAAGAAAATACCTCCTTCTTCCCCTACAATAGGCCCAGAATCCAATGGGAAGAAGTTTAAAGTTTTTAAAATATTTATTTAACAAGAATTAAATGTTTAAATGTATATTTTACAGAGACTGAAAAGAAGAACATGATACATTAAACTACTCACCTCCATGGGAAGACATGTCTGTCCATAAGCAGATGTCCCTGGATGTGACATCACAGGCTCATTCTTAATTTGAAAGTGTATTTTGCACATGTAGCCATCAGAACAGTCCTGTGTTTCATCACCAAAAAATATACAATAAAACCTCAATTATTTTAAGAATTCATCATTTTAAGAACCACTTCCCATAAGTTCCAAACTGATCAGTGAAAAACTAAATGTACCAAATGAGATGAGACTATATGGATAAAGAGACTAGTCCAACATCCTGCACATAGTAGGTCTCAATAAATGCATGTTTTATTCTCCTTTCTTATTTATTAAAGATGTTTCCCCCCTCCTAGATTAAACCTTCCTCTTTTTTTCTTGACTAGTCCATATCACCAAAATCACTTAAGCTTATAGAAATAGCTTGCTACATAATTAATATTGATTTTCATGGCATACACATAAAGAATAATTTTAGGACCTGCAATAGATCTCAAAGCTGGAAGAGAGCTTCCATTTCAATTTTTTTCTCAAGGCGAGATCTTTATGAAAATGTCCCAGAAAGGTAATTATGCATCTCAGCATCTGCCTGTGTACCTCCAGGAACCTGTGCTTGCTATTCCCTTACACAGCAGCCACTTCCTTTGGTGCACTGTACATTAAGAAAGTTTTGTCCCATATTTCACTTCCTTTAACTTTAACTTAAACTTACTTAGTTCTGCCCTCTGAAGTCTATCCCTTTTCTGCACAGCTGTTCGGAGAACGAAGAAATGACTGCCATCTGCAAATACTCCTTACAAGATACGGCTTCCAAGCTTTTTACTAGTATTTCTCTCCTGTTTCTTGTACATGCTCTTATATACACTAATGAATGATGTTCATCTAGCTGTGGCCAGTTCGGTTTTTTTTTTTTTTTTTTTTTTTTTGAGATGGAGTTTCGCTCTTGTTACCCAGGCTGGAGTATAATGGCACGATCTTGGCTCAACGAATCTCCGCCTCCTGGGTTCAAGTAATTCTCCTGCCTCAGCCTCCTGAGTAGCTGGGATTACAGGCGTACACCACCATGCCCAGCTAATTTTTGTATTTTTAGTAGAGATGGGGTTTCACCATGTTGACCAGGATGGTCTCAATCTCTTGACCTCGTGATCCACCCGCCTCGGCCTCCCAAAGTGCTGGGATTATGGGCATGAGCCACCGGGCCTGGCCCAGTTCCGTTTTTTTTAAGGTAACACTTGTTTGAATTCAATAAAGTCATGAATAAGAATATATTACCTCCCCAAGCACAAACATACATGCCAATAAATACTAATTCCCCACCAAATTGTCACACCAACATTTATATTTTAACAGAATTAAAATAATACTAAGGACTAAGGGGTTACTTAATCTTCCTATAAGGAGAGGGAAATGTGGATGCAGTGACACAAAGAGGAAAAAAGCCATGTGAAGATAAAGACGGGATAGGTCCATCTACAAGCTAAAGAACGCCAAGGATTGCCATCGGCCACTGGAAACTAGAAGCAGTAAGGATTGCTCCTTCCTTAGAGCATTTGGGGGAAGTAGGTCCCTGCCAACATCTTGATTTCAGACTTCTAACCTCCAGAACTGTGAGACAATAAATTTCTGTTACTTTAAGTCTTCCAGTTTGTGGTATTTCGTTATGACGTTCCTAGGAAACTAAAACAGTAACTCTATTTTTTTAAGATAATTGGCAGCACCTTAACAATGCCTCCCAGTAAGTTGTGCTGACAAACTGCCAGCCCTCACTCAGGTGGCTGCACTGGTTGTTTGTTGTCAGCACTAGTTTTGATTGGTTGGATCCAGCTCACTCTGATTGGTTGATGCCTCTGCCACAGGTTGTTAAATATTTTTAATAACATTCCTGACTGTAAAGTAGACCAACAGATATCCAATAATGTAATTTTTAATTATTTCATTAAGGATATCCACTGTGTAGATGGAATTACTGTTTTAAATTCCAGCTCTACACTATCTGATCACAAAGCAGACCCTGTGATGGTCTTCTACCATTGAAACCTTTGTATTCAGAAACATGTAAATTTAACATTGGCTTAAACTGAGAAACATATATGTACTGACTGTTGACATTGCCACTGTTTCATATCAAACATCTATTCTTCCTTCTTTTGGAGCACTAGTCATTGCTCCTTTAAGGAACCATTCCCTGATTTTGAAGGCAATGGTTCCTTAGAGGAGCACTGGCTACTGTTCCTCCAATTACAGCTCCAGGGATAGACACACGACTCCAATCTTGCCAATCAATACAGCTGGCCCCAGAGACTCTGAAGGACAAATTATCCACAATCACAGCCAATGGGATACAATTCAGGATTTGGTTTGGGGAGTTTGGGAATAGTGGCTGTTCTCTTTTCCACTAGTTTTAACAAGACAGACCAAAAATTAAAATAAAATAAACCAACTGGCAGCCACCAGGTAATTAAACAAAGTCTGCTTTGCAACTCAGAGGAAAGTAAGACCATGAGATGCAAAGAAACCAGATTCTGACTAGGTTATTTATACCAACCATATCTGAAACTAGTTCTACCTCAATTTTTCAATTACATGACCCCAAAAAGTCCCTTCTTGGCTTCACCCAATAGGTTGGGTTTTATGTCACTTGCAACCAAAATAATTTTGCTATTAAGTAACATAAATTGTGTTTAATAGTTTAAAAATAGAAGATTCCTATTGTATTGTATCATCAATCTCACTGTGATAATCAATAGTTGATTATATAAAAGTTGATTTACCATACACAGTTATGCATCATTTAATGGAAGGAATACCTTTTGAGAAACATGTCATTGAGCTATTCTGTCATTGTACAAACATCATAGCCTGTGCTTACACAACCTGAATGGTATAGCCTCCTACATACCTAGGCTATATGACATAGTTGCTTGCTCCTAGGCTGCAAACCTGTACAGCATGCTACTGTACTAATTGCAGACAATTGTAATAAAATGATAAGTATTTGTATATCTAAGCATGTTTGAACAAAGAAAAGGTACCGTAAAAATGCAGTTTTATAATCTTATGGGAACACTGTATATGTGGTCTGTCCTTGACTGAAATATTATTATGCAGCATGACTATACAGTAAAACTGTAATAGCATGTGTTTGTGAGAAAAATTACTCAAAGTCTGCAATTTCAAAATGATCTAGTCATAGAGATAAAAACCAAAACTCTCAGGATATTCTGAGAACACAAAGTTGCATTGTGTGCACTAAATATAACTCATTAAATAAGGGTAACTGCTCTATTTTGTATTTTTCTATACCTGAGCCCTGGTCATACAATCTCCTCTTAAGGGAACGTAACGTTTAGTAAAATTCTAATTATAATGCAAAATACATCTCCTTTGACATTAAAAGAGATGAGTCAAAAATTCCTGTGCACCTATGTTATAAAATCTAAATAAATTATCTGGTCTCTTTCCCAGTGAGTTAAGATAAAGAGATATGTCACTTTCAATATTACTTATAATGTGAGGAATCTGTACTTATATTTTAGGTAATTTCTAATAGCATTTATTATTATCCATAGGGAAGTACACTGGGTTTTTGCTCTATATTTGGTAGTAGTGAATTTTTTCAGATCCAACCTTTTCAGTCAAGATTAGCCTTGAAAAATTAAATATAGAGTTTTTTGGATTTTGATTTCCCTTTAAACACTTCCACAAAACTGGGTCTTTCTCCTATTTTGTTTTAATTTAAGGTAGAAAAATATGTTTTGTTCTTCTCTGCTGAAGATGCTTTTTTTAGAGACAAACGCAAAAGCATGAGAACTGCCACTCTCTGTCAGCCCTGCAGTCCATCCAGTCCAGTAAACGATGTTAATTAAAATCCCCGCTTGTCAATGAAGTTTTCCAGACCATTCCAATTAACACTTCTCTCTTGCTTCCCTGCATCCTTTTTGTACTTATCATAGCTTACACTTCAATATTTAACTCTTCTTTAATTTTTTAACATTTGTTAGTTTTATTTCTCCCAGTAGATCATAAGCTCAGGGCCTAGGCCCCCAGCCTCTAAGAGATGACAAGGTCTTTAAAGAAACCAGATTCTGTTCCAGATAAAAACCTGATGCATATAGTGTTTGAAAACACCCTGGACAAGCAGGTAAGGATGTAATAACAAAGGGAAGCTTCCAGTTTATCCAATTCAAGCCTCTTATTTTAGAGATAAGAGGGTGAAGGAGTAAAGCACTTCTAAGAAACTTGTCTTAGAGCTAATTAGCTGGAAGCAAAGCAGGAAGTAGAGAAAGTGGATCTCTTGACCTGAGTATTCTTTCTAGCACACTAAGCAAATTCTGCCAGAGAGCAGGACCATGGCTTACTGACTCTCATGGACTGGTGTGGGCCAGTGCTTTGCACTTTAAATAACAAACTCAAGCCACTCAAGTGTGATGTGGGACCAGCAGCCACAGCATGAGCTGCGAGCTTATTAGACAGACATGCAGAATCTCAAGCTCCACCCCAGACTTCCTGATTCTGTATTTAAAATGTGAACCCCAGGTGATCTGTATGCACATTTTGGAAGTACTGAGGCATGTACTGCAATCCCCGACTCAAAGAGACAGCAAACTACTTGCAATTGGAGCTGCACATTAGACCCCTACTGGGGAGTTTTCAAAATATTGTTGCTGGGGTCTCACCTCAGACCAATTAAGTCAGAATCTACCTAGCAGATTCTAGCACAGCAGCCAAACTTGAAAACCACTGCACTCAATTCCTTGGAGCCCCCTTTTGAACTCAATGAACACAGTCAATCAGGTAATCTACAGCTACCTCAGGAGAAAAGTCCACAAACAACTCAAGATCTTCATGAACACCGTAACTCACCTGGAGCTCTCCAAATGCTAAAATCACCTCTGTCAATGCTCTCTTCTTGGAGGCTTTTCTATGCTCAGACTGCCTTTCATGTGGTCTTTACCACTACCTCAAAAACTACTTTCTGGTAACTTGGCCAGTCTTGACCAGGCCCCATGAAACTTTAGTCTTGTAACTTAAAATTGTTCCATGTTCAACTACACTTCACCTATTAGGACTCCTTACTGTCCATTCACCACAAAACATGTTGCTTCACTCTATCACTATAGAAG